TGTATATTAGATCTCCCCAACCTCTCACAGACCTACTGATCTTCTCACCTTTGCACACTGCAAAAGTCAAGGTGCAGAGTTGAAGGTGGATGGTCTTTCCATCTCCTTCCTTGCTTGCTGGGGAGGTGCAGTCTTATCATTAGGAAGGACATCAGTTTTTCCCACTCTTGGTAGGAAACTCATCCCAAACCCTGAAGGCCTCTGTGCTTACAAGCTCTGTGGCCCATTTTAACATGGCTGGGCTGGCACATGTACAGAAACATGAGCCAGCTGCTCACTCTGCTCTCAGATTCCCTACACTGAGCATGGGCCAGCTCCAGCCCTAGTGACAGCCAGGACACCCAGAGAGAGTGACACAGCAGTGCTGGTAAAATGACACCACAGCCTGTCCTTGGGACTTTGTTGGGACCAAAACCCTGTTTAGAAACCTTGCTGTCAGTCTAATCCCATCTAACCAAGAGAAATGTCCTTCTAGTGTGACTCACAGCTTCTCTGGGTGGGCAGTGGTTTCTCCCATTCATTCACTCTCTCCTTCATTTCCCTCTCCAGCACATGGTGCCATTCAGGGGCCACCCGGTGAAAAGGGAGAGAGAGGTTATCGTGGACCCAAAGGTAAGGCTTACCATCCTTTCCCTCTTCAGCCTTCTCATGGCCAGGAAGCAGCACTGTGACCACAGAGGTCACAGCACTGCTCGAGGTCACACCCTCTCACAGTGAGGGTGGCACCTTCAGGATCTCAGCCAAAACATTGTCCTGATTTGGTGTCCCTTCCCCTGGCCTGTCCCTGTCTGTGGGTCACTTGTGCTCAAGGGCAAACTTGGTCTTCTCATTCCTTCAGGTGACCCTGGGCCGATGGGCCCACCAGGACGACACGGGCACAGGGGACCAAAAGGAGAGAAGGGAGAGAAAGGTAGGAACACCTGCCATTCCCAGGAGAGCAGGGTTGACTGTCACAAGTGGCACCAGCCCATCCCTGGGAATAGCTGGGAAACACAGCCTCAGTTTTTTGGTTTGGATCTTTTGTCTTTTTACGTGGTCTTTTCCACTAACCCTCCTTTTGATTTTTCTGGTCCCCAGGTGAACAACTGTATGTTGGCAGAAGAAAAAGAAGAGCTGTTGGTGTTTAAGGAAAGAGGTAGCTCAGTTATGCACAGGGCAGCATTCCCAGCAGCCTGTAGAAAATTAGCCTGAGTCTTCACTGCCTTAATGCTAAACCATCCTCACTGCTCAGCTGACCCCTTAGAGTTGATAGTTCAGATCTGAACGTCTCTTGTGTGTGTCCAGCATGGCCCTAGTGTGGGTGTTTGCTCCTTGTTACTGATGTTTGGCTTTGTGCCCCTGAGCTCCCAAGCTGATGGCCTTGGGCTGACAAGGGCTTCCTGTCTCACCTAATCCAGGCTTCTTGTACTACTCCCAGATATGTAAAAACCTGGGTTTTTTAACGAGTAGCCAACTATGCAGAAAAAAGAAAACAATCCTGTTGCAGTGTGATGTAATAGCAACACAATCCCATCCCCACCAAATGCATGGTTTGTCAGGGATCAGATGCAGCCCACAAGGCCCTGTGAAAAACCCTGGCCTTGTACTGCCCTGGGATTCCCTCTCCACAAGCTTTGCCAACCCCAAGTGGGGCCCATTTATAGCAGCACAGTGAGACAGGACACACACAGGGCCAAACCAAAGCACTTTTAAAAGTAATTTGTTCATCTTTTAAAAATATTTTTGTACTTTTTTTTTTTAACTCTGGTAAAAAATAATCTTTAATGTAAACAGCCCAATTAAAGTGTGTTTTTAACCCCATCCCTGAACTATTGAGGACGGCTGTTCTGTGCTTGAAGGTGGTTGTGGGGCAGGGTGAGGCACCTGAGATGGGTCTGAAGTACAATGGTAAATACAATGGCACAATAGTAAATACTTTTATACTTAGTTATTTTAAACATTGTAAATCATCCCCTTCACTCAAATGCTTGTACAAATCACTTGTATTTCATGCAAGTTTTCCAACAAAAAAATTGAGGCGATTTCAGCAAACTGTGATTTTATTGTATTTACAGCAGAATTATTACAATATTCTACAGAAAGCCATGAAATCAAATTACTTTGAAAAACAAGACAAAAAAAACCTCCCAAAACTGTTGTATGGCTGCTACTGCAAGTTCACTTCCACAAGCTGCACAGAGACCCTTATCCAATTATTCATCTATCTCATGATTTTTGGTTGCTTTCTGTAAGGCAAAAATAGCTTGGTTTGCAGTTAACACAAAACATTCAACAAACTGCTGGGAGAACATGAGGGAGGCTGGCGGTGCCTGAGGCGCGTGTTTTGTCACAGGATGCTCCTGCTCTGCTTGGCTTCCTGACAGAAAATGGGGTGACAGTACAACACTCCATGTCCCTTCCTAGTTTCTGTTCTTTCCACCATTTTAGGACTGATTCTCATTACCAAAGAAGCTTTACCACCTAATTTTAAGTGTGGAAGGCATTGTTAAATCAGGGTAACACTAGGCTCAGCCACTCCCTTCTGCTTTCAGTACAGGAAAAGCACATGAGCCCTTTCTCATGGGTTGGGTATGAGCATGCTTTTTGCTTAAGGGGTTTTCCTCTGGCACCACTGACTGCCCAGACAGCGTGCAAAGGAGCTACAAAAAACAAAGCATGAAGACTGAGCTGGAGAAAAGAGATGTAGAACAAGTAAAAGTTCTGTAAAAGAACCACTGTAATTTCCTTTGTCTTCTCCTTCCCTTTATCTGTTCTCATCTTTTGCAAGATGAGAAATGATGGGGCATCCTGGCCTTGGCTTGCCTGTGAACAAGGTTAATTCTCTTTAATCTTACTTCAACTGCTGTGAAGATGTCAGAAGTAGCCTGGGAATGTGAAATTTGCATGGACACATCAACACAAGGAAGTTTCAGAGATCCAGAAGTACAGATTTTGATGTAAAATGATGATCAGTGTAAATGCTAACATCGAACTTATCGACACAGTGATGGCCCTAAACACTCCCCCCCGTCCTTTCCTCCAACAATGAGAGTCACTGTCCTCAAACTTGCCCCTCTTCCCCACAGCAGATGAACCAAGCAGTAGATCAGTGGAAGCAACTAGCACCAAGCTTATTTGTACATTTCAGTTTTCAGCAATGATGTGTTTCTGAGGTCCTGGGAGCTACAGCTGCACAACAGCTCTGAAAATCAGGCTACCTAAAAGTGGACTAAAGTGCCTGAATTTAAATTACCTATTTGAATCTTTCCTATACCAAAGCAAGCTTGAAATACTTGCAAGGCAGATACTATTTCAATTGGAGAATCAGCTTAAACGTCCTATGTGATACTGCTGTCACAAAGACACGGTGTGACATTGCTGCTTTGCTTAGCCTTTAGTTAAGGTGCTATGTTTCCAATTTTTAAGGATAATAATTCAGTAGAATAGAGATATCATAAAGTCCTTTGGGACAGAAGAATAATTTCTTTAACGGTATGATAGATCAGACATTGAGTACCTGTGAATGCAATTTTAAAAGAATATTAGCTCAAAAGATTACCTGGAAAAAAGGATGCAGCTCAGACTGAACATCAGTTTTTAATGTGATGTGAAAAATCACTCTGGGTGAATGCTGATGGTCAGGACAGTGCAGTCCTGCCAGCGAGAATTTGAATTCAGATGCTAATTCAAATAAAGATTTTCCTTCAGAAGGTGTTTATAAATCAGGACCTACATAATCAATCATATGAATAACAACTTCAGTATCGTATCCTTACATGCTGTATATAGTTCTCATGTACAGACCAGCGACAGCAGAGTGCTTGCAGAAGGAAAATGTGCTTTATGGGGATCAGAGAGGATCAAATGCTGGAGTATTTCTTCTTCATAAAATAAGCAGGCAAGTTCCCCTGGAACTTCAGAAGAGCAAGAGCTGCCACAGCCCATTTGCTGCTGGGTTGGTAACCCCTCCTCAGCCAGAATCTCCTAAAAACAGGTAGCAGGCGCACCTGAAGACCTTTAGCCCCGGATCTCCCTGGATGCCTTAAGCAGTGCAAAATGCACTTTCAGAGCTTGGGAAACACATGGTGGGAGGCTGAGGCCCTGCAGGCAGGTTTTCCATGGAGGATCAGTTGTAAACACAGGAGGACAACCCACACACAGCACTGCAATCCAGGGATTTATTGCCTTTTCTCGTTTTCCTGTGGACATAATTTACAATGTAGTAAAACACAATGGTGAGCAAATAGTGATTTGTGATCAGCTTTGGAGGAACATGTGGGGACAATGAGATCTGCCAAACAGTAAGAATTTGGAAATAAGTACATTGTTTTGGCTGCAGAAAATATACTTTACCACCCTGGAGATAGAGCTGCTAACATTCATTAGGGAGGTGATGTGAGATAGTACCAAGATTGCATTTCACGTCTCAAGAGATGTCTTTTAGGCCTATGTGAGACTAAATTAAATTTGAATTGAATTTTCTGACACTGATACAATATTGTAACACCTCTCACATTCTGCAACACTTAAACCCAATTTTGTCAGTCTAGATGTGTAAGTACCCATGCTAGTTCTTGTTATCACTCAGTAAACATATTTTTGTGCTTGGTATCAATTCTCAGCCCAGTTCACAAGGCTGCAAGTGCTTCACAGGGCTTCCCACCTGGAGACCTGAGCAAGGCTTCCATCGCCACATCCGATCCCTCCCTTCATCCCAGAGCTCAGTTACAGTTATTTGTGCAATTTACAATGAGATCAGATTGCAGGGCCTGTGTGAAAAGGATCTTCAAATAAAAGATGTAAGAGATTCAGACAGAGGTAAACAGAATGCCAATACATATTAGCAATGTATCACTGAAACTACCAAAAACGTAAGGAGAAGATTATTAACATTTCCCTGTGAGGATTTAGTGGGGATGAACGTAGACATAATCCAGAAGAGGAAATCTGCCTGCCCTGCCTACACCCCCGGTAAAGCACTGAGCCTACTTCATATGAAATTGCAAACAAATTCTGTTAAATAGAGATGAAGATTATTTAATGTTATCTTAGTCAATTTATGAAGGTGGAGCTTAAAAAGCAAAAGGTCTTCAAAGACTTGTTTCTCCCTACTAAACAAACAATTCAAAAAACTTTGCATTTAGCAACAACATTCTAAAGATACGGTGCGTGAATTTACAACAGTACACAATACACATTTAAAATAATAAAATGCCAGAAATTAAGGCTAGCTATTAAAGTAATTATGCTATCAAAAAGTTACAAAATTTAAATTAAAACATGCATTTTCCAATTTTCTTTTTACTGTGCTGTAAATTGTCTTCATTGAGAAGATACTGCTTCAACATCCAAGGATTTCAGCATTCAAAGTTTCAACCAGAGCTGATTAAAGTCCTATGTTAATTTCTGAGTTCATTGCCATGCAGCAACACTGTTCCCATAAAATGAACGCCATGGAATGGGCACCAGTTGCATGGTCAAAGCAAGCAAACAAAATAGGTGCAGTTGATGCCCAAAGATATCAGAGAACATCGGGCCTCAAAAGACAGAAAGCAAATACTATTTTACAAATGGAGCTCCAACATACCCAAGTACAGCTTCTAACACTGTCTTGATATGACTCAACCTCCATCCACCAAAAGGAGTGCAGCAAAAGTGACCTAATACAGCTGTATTTCCCTACCCCGCTATAGGAGACACAGTTCAGATTTCCCACTACAGATCAGTCAGGCAAATAACTTATGGTTATTAACATCCAGGAACTCAAAAAATAAAACCTGCCTATGTTAGTAGGTGGCAACACAAAAGCAAAACACCCAGCTTCATAGAGAAGTTTGTCTGTATATTTAACTTAAATCTTTCCTTAAAATAAAATGACTAAAATAAAAAAAAAAAAATGAAACTAACACTTCTAGTGAAATCAGACTTTAGCCATGGTTATTTATAAATATGACCATCCAGCTCCACTTCTGTGATGGAGTTCAAATGAACAGACTTTGGTAAGAACAGAACAATGGCTCTACCCATTCCAGGTACAGTTAGAGAAACCACGTGCATTTTGCACACCGCTTTCTAAAAAATACATTCTACAGTTTTTCAATTTGTAGAACTAACCACCTGTATGTAATAGCTAAAGAAAATAATAAACTGTGCATTTTAAAGTTAGCATTTCTTTCACCTTTACATATTTTAGTGCAAAATATTTTAGGGTGAGGATTTACAACAAAAATGGCAGTAGCAGCAAGAAATCTTGTTTTGTACAGTAACAGCAACGCTAAGGAGTTTTGTGTTTTTAAATGACAAAACAGTATCCTGTTGCCAGGATCAGCATATCTAAGTGTTTCAGGCACTGTATTAATTAAACTAGCACCCCATTTCATTATGGAACTAATGGACAAAACATGTCATGGAGATCAGCTCAGTTTAATTTATGCCAGAGGTTTCTTTTGAAAGAAGTTGCAAAAGCTTTTGCCAATTGTGTTTAAACATAAGGGTTTGTGTTTCTGATTGCTGGCATGTTCTTAGTAATTAGTTTCAGTCCTTGCCATGAAGACACTGCTCACATTAGAAAAATTTTCAGCCTCTCATGGCAGTTTCAATTGTGGAATTCTCTCATGGAGAAATCTGATGCTTAAAAGCACAGTAGCAGAACTAATATTACACCATTTAAATGTTCAGATGAGAAACCGTTTTTTTTATGATGAGAAAGAGCATAATTAATATTTCAGGCTTAAAGTCAAAATCATAGGTAATGTACTTTTAGAGACTGGGATAAAAAGCCCACTTAGTCTTGAAACATCTGAAGGACGTTACAATACCACTGTACACCAATACTTGGTTTGTTTCTTCTGTTCAGGGGAGTGAAGAAAGCGCTCCTGACACTGATTGTCTCCACTGAAAACAAGACACGCGAGGTCCCCGATGTTCATACGCCGCGGGTAAGTCGGGTTAGACCGTAAGGAGGGAGAATTCCAAACACCAAAAAACCTCCAGAGGTTCCCAGAGTTACGACCCAGTGGAGTGAAGACTGGGGATTGGGTAGAATTTGGAAATCCGGCTTTGTGTTGAAGGATTAAGGCATTCGGATTCTCCAGTCATTTTAAAGAAAACTTCCTGTTCCTGCAGTTTTCTGGCAAATTCTTCTTCCAGCATCTAAAACCAAAATCAGATTGTCACAGGATTAACAAGGCAAAGTACAAGAAACCCATTATTGTGGAGACATTTTGTCTGATCAATCTCTCTCTGAACTGTGTGAAAGTCTACTACATTCCCTTTTAAAATAAAATAATCCCACAAGACCAACCTCCACCACCAGCTATATGTCTGCTATATATCACTCAATTTTTGTAGTAACCTACTGGCTTCTGAAATAAATTCCCAGCCTCAGATTTACCTCCAGCTAAGTTTCCCATGCAAACCTGCACACATGTGCTGCAGGTGGGAGCCCTGCAAAGAGGCTGGTAACACTCAGCCTGTTTTGGTGCACCTACCCTTTGCTCAGCTTATGTAATTTTTAAACATCTCTTATTATAGAGTGAACTGCAACAGCTTTGTACAGCAGCTTGACTCTCCTCCTCTGCAATACTTTTGTACTGTCTGTATTTTCTAGATCAAACCCTTGATAATTGCCTGACACATGAACTGCTCCCATTTACCTTTTTTCTTGGTCTCAATTTCTCTCTCCATTCCTTCAGTTCTTGACTGTGCTCTTCATCCAGCTCTTTTAGCTTCTGAGTCTCATGCTCAACCAGTAGATGGCATTTTTCATTCTTAAAACAAGATAATCCTTATGTAAAACTAATTCAGATTAGGCAACTCAACATTTGTACAGTGACATATGCTGTCCTAATTCTTTCTAATTAGCTTATTCCGTGTAAATAGTGACGTGAATAATTACAAGATGAAAGTATGTTACAAGGCTGTGTTTTCAAAAGCTGATCTTTCCATCAGAGCCAACTGAGATAAGAAACACTCGTAAATCCAAATACACTGCTGAGCATCATTAAGGCAGCTGCTGCAAGTGTTACTCAAAACTGTTTCACTGCCTAATGATGCTTTTCAAGGTCATGCAGCATTTCTGCTTTGCTTTTTAAAGATAGTCTGTATAATTTATTAAAACCAATTACATTAAAAAGGAAGCTGTTTTTTGGAAATATTTCAACTCTTGGTGCCAAGAGCTGAGACAAACAAATGGAGCTTGGAGAAGAGACAAAGGTGGTTGCAGAAGCAGCCTCAAAATTGCCCTATGATAAGGCTCAAATCACACTTCAGCTTCACATTTCTCTCAGTAAGGTACCCAGGCATCTGCCTCACTTTCAGAGGACTTTTGAGGCATGACAAGAAAAAAATCAATTATTTGGCTTCAAGTCTCTGCACTTTTTTAAGAGCAGTTGGCGATGGTTGTGTTTCTAGGGTTCCAGTCCCAAATGGGTCTGATGCAGAGTACAGAACCACAGCAACACAAACAACGAGCACTTGACTAGACCTGAGTGCAGCAAAGGGTTTTCCAGTTTTCCTTGTGAAGCTCAGAGCAGCCCTAATCTGCTGTATTTTACTGGAGCTGAAACTCTCACAAGGCTCCCACGGTACTTGGGGATTTACTGGGGCATATTAGTGGCACAGCCAGGGACTGTTTTTGCAGGATGTAAGAAAGTGAATAGAGTAGAATGAGCTTCATTGGTCCTTGCATGATTTCTCTAAGCAAAGGTTATCAGCAGGTGATCATTTAATGCTTTAAAACTGCCTTGTGCCCCTGAAACTGGGAAAAGCTGATTTAACAGAAAAGGAGATCTGGCCTCTGGTATACAGCAGAAACTTTTACAAAATGCATACCAAAAGAGACAAATCAGAGCTCCTTATCACAAGAAGAGAATTCCTTCTAAGTACCTTCCAGAAGCTCACACGCAAATGGCAGCACTTGGTAAAAACCTCCTCATTCCTGTATTAATGAATGTATTCCTGTATTGCTGCAAACTTCTTGTGGGTAATGCCTGGTGCTGCCTACCTCTGTTCTGATTAATGAAACTCCAGCAAAATCAGGTTAGAAGGAAATGCTGCCTACAGAAAATAGCTCTGGGAACTTGACAGGGATTCCAGAAGTGATCATCTGCTTCTGGTTCATGCTCTTCTCCATTTAAAATGATTCCTTATTAATTGATGGAAACATATGAATCTGGCAAAGCAGTGCACTGCAGGCCTTTGAAAACAAAGTTGAAAAAAACTATACAGTAAAAATTAAGGAAAGGTGTTTCTGCTTTGCCTGCATCTGGTATTAACGTAAGTCTTCTCACTGAATGGACATTTAATATCATGTATTTTTAACCTGTAACTGATGCAGTTCCCTGATGTTTGCTTCACACTGCAACTGAAGGTCCCGCATTTGGTTTTCGTGTTTCTGATGCTGGGCCAGTCTCTCATTCTTCTGCCTCTTTTCTTCTTGAACAGCAAACTAAAATTAAAAATAAGAGATTATTTATATTGTGCCTCTGAATAAAACAGTTTGCATGAGTCAAAGAACTGCATCTAATAGAATGAACACATACTGAGAAGAACAATTCTACAAGATTTAAGCAGTAATTTTCTCTATTTTTTCTTTTTTAAATTCCTACAAAGGAAGTTCCTTACAGTTTTAATTCCATTTCTCTGTCTGCACTATGATTTTTCCTTAAAACGCAGCACACTTCACTTCCAGATTCCTGAAATTACCTCCCTCTGAAGCTGTGACACAGCAGTCCAGCTGCAAGCATTGGTTTATACCGGTGTTAAACAGCTACAGGAGACCATATTTTCCACATTTGTCATCCTTCCAGTGCTCACCATATGAAACCATGATTTGCAACTGTGGTGCATTAGAAAGCAAACCTCTCAACCTCTGCACAGCATTCCCTTTTAAAGAATGAGTGAATACCTACAGCTTTAGTTCAAAAGCTCAGAGAAAATCAAGCACCCTTAAAAATGTTTCACAGAATCACAGAACAGTTGAGGTTGGAAGGGACCTGCAAAGATCAACCTCCCTACTCAAAGCAGGGTCACCAGGAGGAAGCTGTGTAGGACTGTGTCCTGTTTTCTGAGCATTTCTACAAGCTCTCTGGACAACCTGCTCCAGTGTTTGACCATCTTCCCACTACAAAAATGTTTTCTCATGTTGAAGTTGGATTTTCTTTATTTCAGTTGTGACTGCTGCCTCTCACCCTGTCACTGGGCACCACTGGGAAAAGTCTGGCTCCACCTTCTTTGCTCCCTCTGTTGGGTACTTATACTCATGGATAAGACCCTGCTGAGCCTATGCTCCTCCAGGCTGCAGCATCCCAGGTACCCCAGGTGGCTCCTTGTGTAACAAGACACTTGAGTCTCTCAGCCATCTTCAAGGCCCTTTGCATGACTCACTCCAATAAATCTGTGTCTGACTTTACTGGCAAGCCCATGCTGGACCCAGCAGAGGCTCACCAGAGCAGCAGGGAAGGATGATTTCCTCTGACCCCATCCAGTGCATCAGCCCAGTTTGGTACCATCTGAGAACTCATGAGAGTGCACTCTATTTCATCCTCACATTTATATCACATTCAGCATTTACACTATTAAAACTATTAAATATTAATTTATTAATTACCTGCTTAATTTTTTCACGATCTTGGTCTGGAGAGGCAAATGAATTGATTCTTAAACTTTTCTTAAACATGGCCATCCGAGTCTTTGCTTCACTTCGCTGGATTTTAGGCAGTCTGGCTCTTTCCTGAGTTTGCTTGTTCTTTAACTCCTCTATAAGGCGTTGATTATACCTCTGCATTTGTTCTGTTTCCTGAAACATTAACCATGTGGAAATATTACACAGTAGCTGTGATGTTATACAGTGTGCATCTCTTTTCATTAATAAGTCTCTTCTGTGACTCAGTGCCTCTCAGCAGAAACCATTCCCAGCCCCAGGAGTAACAGTGGGGAGGAGGGGCTTCTTGCAGAGAGCTCTGGATCTTGCCCAAACCAAAGAAAATTCTCTAATAAATGTAAATACGCATATATTTTACCAGTGCTTACTCAGCTCCTGTACTGCCTTTTACAAAGCCTGTTATTCAAAAGGAGAAACTGCTTTTTATGTAACTGAACTTCTGGGCTACAGCTGTGGAGGGGCAGTTTGCTTAAAAAAGCTGGGGAAAGCAACAGCCCACATGGGATAAACCAGAGTGGACAGAACAAATCTTCAGTGGAGGCTGCTCATGCTCTGATCACCAAGAGATCCTCAAACAACTCCCTCCTAGTTTACAGATTCAGAAATTGCACTATTTGCTTTTGTGTATTCTACAAAAACCAAAATGCCTTGTGGAAAATAAGGATTTAGCTATAAAGAGACAGTTGTCAGCTACTTGCCCAGAAGCTAATCCAGTTCATTCTGCTCATTCAATTCCAGGATTATTTACTTCTGAACAGATTTGTTTAAACACAAATCAAAATTGGTTTTGGTGGATAAGCAGAATTTGGTATTTTTTATAGTAAAAGATTGATGTTGTGGTTGGTTGGTGTTGGTTTTTTTTTTTTTGAAGAATCAAAGGGGAAAATACCATAATTTATACTTCTATATATTACTACGGTGAGTAAGATTTTTTTAAATTTCAACAGAGCACATAATATCTTCAAAATACTTGTCTGGGTCTTGCCTGTGCAAACACCAGGAAAGATCCTAAGACTACTTGATAAAAAAAGTTGATATTAAAATACACAAGAGAAAATGTCAAAGTCAACACTAACTTTTTCATGCCTCTTAAGCAACTGGTGCCTCTGCATGAAGTACTGATCTTTGAGCTGCTGCTTGAGGAGCTGGTGTTTCTCCTGTAGGTGCCGCTCCTCCAGCTCCCAGAATGCAGCTTCACGGGCTGGAAGAAAGAGAAAGGTTGGTTCAGGAATTGCAATCCCATCCCATACTTCCCAACCTCCTGGTCTAGTTCAGAAGTGGCCTATAAGTGCATTTTAAAAACAATGCTGTTTCATAGCAAATGTTTTTGTTACAGTTCTAGATTAGACATGAAGGTTTTTTATTTCATAAAGTGAAGAAAGACCATTGTTTTACTAAACACCAGTGCCTGTTTCCAAGGGAGTGCTGGATACCTCTCATGAGCTGCTGTTTGTTGTTGAGGCAATCTCGTTCAATAGTGGCCAGTTCTGTCTTCTGCTGCTGAATTATTTTCTTCAGAGATGCATCCAGTTCTTGTTGTTGTTTCTGCACAAACTCCTGCTCCTGGTAAAAACCAATAGAAGTAAATTAAATTGGGTTCTTCTAACCACATTACATGTTAATGAAACTCCCAGTCCTCTCAGCATTAGCTATATATGAAAACAAATACATCTATGAAAGTTTGAGCTAGGGTGCTCAAACTTTGAGCTTTGGCTATCAAATTATCCATCTTTTGTACTTTCTGTGTACAGTGTAGGTGAGAGCATATTCATGTTTAAATAATACAGAAATAAGACCAAAGGTAACAATTTAGCCAGTCATCTGCAACTCATTCCATCTCTTGTCTCTCCTCACAAGTTGCAGGTTCAGAGCTAGCAAAGACAATACTCAATTTAATGCTGATCTCATTCTAAAAAGGGTTAATTATTCATGTAGGTAAGAAAATAAAGGTATGTATGGTTATTCTGCTTTGGGTGATTAGCTAAAGCCTATTTATTTACACAGTTGAGTTTCAGATCTGTGTGGTTTATCTTGGCCTTAGGGTAGGGCTGTTGAGGCTGGGAGTTCTGCAGGACCACTGTGCAGACACCCCATGGTTCTGCAGGGGCGTAACCTGCTCACACCTGAGCTGAGCTGGCTCCTCACAAAGGGATTTATCACCTGCATCTTCCCATTATCCAGGGGCATCACTGTTACATCCCCTCATGAAAAGCAGACAGCATTGAGTCCCCCTCCCATGCCCCAAGACCTACTGCTGCCTTTCTTCTTTGCAACCATTAAAAACCACAGCTATGAGCATGCAAGCATGCACATACATACACACACACACACTCACACCTGCCTTAAAACAAGAAATTGAATCAGATGATTCTAGCATGATATCAAGGCCAAAAGAAAGGACAATGTCAGAGCCAAGGTGGGCTGCTCAAGTCCATAACAAATGGAATTAAATGTTCATTAAAAGTACTTTTTATTTTGACCAGAAAAATCCTGGTTTTCATCCTCACATAAAGTTATTCATAGATGAGGCTTTCATGTCTCTTACTGAGACAGGTAACATAAAACCAGAGGTGAATTAAGCTGACAGTAACAGACCTCAGGGTATAAAAAAACCTGGAAGGTGATGTCTGTAAATCAAGTCAGACACACCTAACTGAATTTATAGAGGGACAAAAAATCCTGGTTTTTCCCTTTATACCTGAAAAGGTTAAAAAGACTACTACAAGTTGAATATTCTGAGGGTGCAGACACATAATTAACACAGTGTTTAATCTGCTGGAAGATTTTTGATTTGGAGGGAGTGGGGGAAAGCTGTTCTAGTGTAGAACATGGTCATGGTCAAAAAGTGATTATGCTTGAGCTTTACACATTTAATCATTTAAATATTGCTGCTTTCTACAGAGTAACTCTTATGAGATTTTATACCTGCTAGTGCTGTAAGATAAACTAGGCAATCTCAGGAAATACACTGGCCTTTCCACTTCTCACATCTACTCAAGTATCGCATAAAATAAACGTCACTGACTTTACTAAAGTATGTGTTGGGTGGTTTAAATGCAGACAGTGCAAGGCAGCCAACCTTTTTCAAAGTACCACTTGGTTATGCCCAGTATCTTAAAAGAAACTCAAACATCTTTAAAATACATGGTTTCACTGCACACACAGAATACAAGTCACACAATGTTTCTCACATGTGCTGAACAAGTATCATGTTGCATGTGTGAACCCTCAGTGTCTTGCTCAGACTGAGTAACTACTGTCTTTTGGAACTTTTGACAATGGATAGTGCACAATTACCTAAATTGGTGCTAACCAGTTTGGAGACAGCAGTGACATTGATCAGCACATATGAGCAGAAAGAGAAGAGAAAACACACATCTGGAAAATTAGGAAGATAAACTTGCACTGTGTTGCATTTTAAGACTTACATCCTGCATTTGTGCGTTGAAAAGCGTACATGAAGACAACTGAAAAGACTGAATCATAACCTGAGCAACACCCTGTGGGACACAATGTAATTCTGTGTCATAATATAGTGATACGTATTTCTAGTCTTAAAAAAGGGAAGAAATGAGATCTGCTGTATGTTAGTAAGAAACATTTGAAATGTCAAGGCTAATCACACAAGTAGATGCTGATAGAAGTTCTAGATATTCTAAAACTAAGCAGCTGCACCTTGTTTAACACTTGTCATTCCAAGTAAGGATATTTCACACTTAAAATCTTCTTTCACCTCTCTTCAACAAATTGAAAGCAGCAAAGGAAATTAACCATGTCTCTGCAAACACTGTGAAAAATTAGATTTTTGTTTCCTTAAAAAGTTTAAAGACAGATATCTTTGGTATGGGGAAAGTGCTGCAACTCAATCACCTTTTATCCTGGGAAATCCCCTCTTAAATTAAACACATAATGGAATAAAGTTGCTATTATTTTCTACTAGGTCACTCACATAAACATTTAATCTTTAGGTTACTCAATCCATACCTGCTCTGCTATGGTTCAAATTCACTCTGTACAAGCTGTAGCCATCACAAAGACAGTATTTTTCTGAAATACTAGCCCTCTTTCTAGCTGGGTCATAGAAAAGCAGCAAGTCTGAAGGCATGAAATCACAGATGATGTTTTGTAAAGTTTCTATACACCTACACTTTGACATTTAAATAACATTTTACCTAATCTGTTCTGCTCCTATAAACAAGATGTCTCATGCTTACACATTAGGTATATTTTCCTCCTCTGCATTTGTGTAGTTCAAAACTTCCTCCTGACTTTAAAATTTGAAGGACCAATGGAGTACTTACCACTCGTAAAAGCACTGTAAATAAACGTGCTGTAGAAAAATACCATTCTTTATCAGTAGAGCACACAAAATCCTACACTTGACAGTACAAACCTGGCAACCGCTGCTCCTACATTTCTACCCAGTTAAGTCTAAGATGTGACATAGGAGTACTTGAAGAAAGAGAGCAGTTTGTAGGGTTAGTTTGAGTTAAGTTCCATATTCACTCAACAACAACAAGAGGTGAAATCATCAAGCTGTGTGAATACTGCTGCCTTTTGTATTTTAGTAGCTTGAAGCTGCCATTGTTACCTGAGCATGCTGGCTTTGTGCAAGCTCCTCTTTCTTGCGTTTCATGAGCTCTTTTCTCAGCTCTTTTGGTGCTTTCTCCACTTCACATAAAACCTACAGTGTATATAAGCATGCAGAAGGTGGCGAAAAGAACACTTTGTCTCCACAGCAAGCACTACTGTGAACATAGGGACATGCAGGTCAAGCACTAGAGGTAGTGGGAAGCATGCATTGCTTCAGTGGCAGGGATGTTAGTTTAGTGAAAGAGCTTAATGAACAGAGAAAGAACAATAGGTGCTTTATGCATGCCAGCAGTGCAGAGAGGAGGGATGTGCCAGCGCTTTTTGCATGCAAATGCTGCCCAGTGCCCTCAGAAACGGCAGTGCCTCGCTTGTGCTTCCATGCAGCTGCCAAAAGAGTCAATAGTTAAGAAAACCACCACCTGCAAAAGTGGTATTTTCTTGAATCACTATGGCAAAAGGACTACAGAGTATGTTACATCACATAAAGCTGTAAAAAATGGTTGGAAGCTTAAAATAACTTCCATTGAAACACAGTTATTTCTACCACTGTCTCTAACCTGAATTTACAAGATGCCATTATTAGTGTCTTTGACCATAAATGACATCTACACAGCTTATGTCTTCAAAATAATCATGCAAGCAAACAAAACATTATTTGGTTGTGCTTGGCTCTGAAGAATTTAAAGCGAAACCCACCAATAAATAAGAATGTTTTCAAGAAACTTTCTGTGACACGTATGCTGGGATAGAACGTGTTTCAGTACACCGTGAATTAGACAAGATTAGCAGAAAGATTCTAAATATAACCTGGCTAAATCAAGTGACTATTAATCTGTTAATTTGCTGATGAGTTTTGTTTTCCAGAATTACAAAAATGTAGCATTGTACACTCCAATATAACAGGGATAGTTTTAGAGCAGCAGCTGCATTTTCCTTCAAACTGTACATTGCCTTTTTAAGCTTTAAACACAAAAGTATGCACCCAGAGACAAATGCCTGTTTGTTTAATAGTGGAAGCATCATCAGAAAACAGAGTCCAAATCACCACATGCTATTCCTATGTCCATGAAAGAACTGCTTTTAGCTCAGAGCAATATGTAAAATTCTCCAAATTTCCCCCATAGAACCCAATCACCAGTGAACAGAGAGAGACTCCAAATGCAAGAGGTACCGCAAAAGAAGAAAAATTGTTATTTACATATGGGCATACAGTTCAAACTAAATACAACTTATATTTCAATGCACATTTGTGCTACAGGATCATTCTATGCAAAAGCACTGACAGTTCAGCTTTCTAAAGAAATGTCTGAGTCTAGTAACTATCGGAGCAAACACTAGAGCCATTTATATAAAAATGGGCACTACGCAATTGAACCAAAAATGAAATAAAACAGCTTTTAAGATGCAAAATCCATATGGAAACATATCACCTTTTCATAATCCAATGCAAGTAAATTAATTGCACCAGTTGTCAGTGTCAGTCTTTTTGCCTTAACTGTATGACATTTATGAAATTAACTGTAAAAGATTTTAGGTTATCCTTCTTCTCTCTAGACTTCTCTCTCCTGGCTTTCCTTTTTGAGTTAACAAACCAAATTCATATTATTGCTGTGACTTCATCTAAAGAAATTCTAAAAAATTACAGCACACATTCAATTAAAAAATCTAACAAAAAAACAAAAACAAAACAGAACTGAAATTACTATCTTTGAAATTCTAATTTGTTAAGTATTTACTAAGTAGCTATAGCTGGGATTTTTTCATAATCTTTATGAAAATACTTTTTCTTGATTTAGTATTTGAGAGGAAATATTTTATTAAATATTCTGTGAAAAGCAAAATCTTTTAACTTGATGATGTTTTCTAGATTAAATCAATACCTCAAGCTTCCTGTCAGCTGTTTGTATTTCACTTTAGGCAGTTAAACAAGAGACACAATTCTGACTGGTAGTGACACTTCCAAAACTCAGTATAGCACAAGTTTGACAAGGCTTCTGGGAGACCTAATCTCAACTGTTTGCTATGCTTATACTCCTTATTTTCTATATTAGCATCGTCTCTTACCTCTTTTTTTTTGTTTTTCAGCACATTCTGGAATTTGGACAACTCCTTCTCCTGCTCAGCCTTGATGCGCTTTGCTTCATCCCGTAAGCGATTTGTGTGCTCCTGCTCCAGGCGCTCGATTGTCTGCTTCTGCTGCTTTTCCAGGTTCTCTATCTCCTGATCATACTGTCGCTTTTTACTCTGTAAAAATTATTTGGTACCTTTTTTGAGAAAGCTAAGTCCTGTTAAATGAACTGCTGTAGCAAGGAATGGCCATGATGGATTGTTGTGGCAGCAAGCCCCCACACAAGCTGGGCATCCCACAATGGCAAATATTGCCTTTTATTTAAGAATAAAGGCTAAGCTAGAGCCATCATGGCAGGAAACACTTGATTGCTCTTAGCACTATTCTGCCTCCTCCATCAAGATGTCATATTTTAAGAGCACCAAAATGCAGAAACTCACTGTCATTTCCTGTTCAAAACGCCTGAACATCTGCTCTCGCTGCTGCAGAAGCTTATTGCTGAGCTGCTGTTGGGCTCTCTGCTCCTCTTTCTGAAGAAGTCTCAGCTCTCTGAGCTCTTGACGTCTAATAAGGACAAAGAACACTTAATACTGATGAGAAAACAAAAAGAAATGCAAAATGACAAGAGATGAAAAGAACCATTAACAACTTGGGCCCAGTAAAACTATTTTGAACTGATTGTCTTAATAAGAAACACTTTATATTCACTTCTACAAAAAAAAAAAGTAAATTATCCCCAAATATGAGTGAAATAAGATCATTAGCCCCCTTGTTTTATTCAAAGAAAAGAAAATATCAGCTGCTAACCTCTTGAAAATTTTACTTTTAGAAACACTTACCGTAGAAATCGCATTTCTTCACTTTTTGAATCATTTTCAGTAACTATTTTTGATGTGGTTACGCTCACTTCTACTCCATCAACAACAAACTTCCGAGTTTTCTTTAACGTTTTCTTCTGCCTTCTAGTTTCCTAAATTAAGCATTGGTGAGTTGTTATGTATTTATTTAGGTTATATTCTTTTTTCCCTTTTTTTCTTAATACTGAATTATATCAAATACTTCTGGAAATGTCTTCTATACAGTAATCAAGAGCCCTTCTCATTTACCAGGTGCCTCACTAATGAATGAGAATTTGAAAAATTCCAATAAACTGAAACTTTCTAGTTAGGAAAGGAAAATTGGAATTATTAATTATCCTAAGTACCAGAAGAAAAAAAATTAAGCCAGAAACTGAAGAGAACTGATGCAGTTTTATTTTCAAGAGCTGAGACAGCTACATTTACTGTTTGCTTTTGATCATGATTTCCCCAGCCACCAACAGGTATTTAATTCTTAAAACCAGTTCTGAAACTGGATAACAATTTACTCACCTGCTTCCTCCTGCTTTGGACATAAACAAATGAATTTATTTTTTTAATTGATATATATTAGCCAAAATCATATCATGATCTTGCTGACAACTAGAGAAGTCTCAGTTGTCAGAGCTGCTGTTGTTTCATTGCAAGAAGAGAGGGACCCCAGCTGAACATGCACCATCTCAATTGTGTCAGGGCAACTGCAAACACCCTTGTGTTTAGCACAGCTATGCCAGTCTATGATTCTTTTGTTTGGTTGTCTTTCTACGTTTGTTTTTCCCCCACTCAGGCCCACGTTACACAGTTACTACCCCAATATGGCTATATTCATTTTAATACAAAGACTACAAATAAAGTTCATAATCTGGAATTTGCTTCCTCTGAGTACGCTCATGCATAGTGACATAACTGCATGGACACAGTACAACCACAGGAGAACACTGACTGGAATAAAAAAAATCCAGCAGAATGTCTGCCTTGGGTGTCCCAAACAGAGAGACAGAATATGGGAGCGGCAGGAATTCAGTATAAGATTAGATATTCAAGAGATTTTCCCATTGAACAAGAATTCTGTGCATTTAGCTGGTCTTCTTGAGTATCAGCTCTGCCCTACAGCCATTCACAAATCTTCATGTGTAGTATTATTACACCTCCTTTTATGGGTTATACTATTACACAATACAGCAAGAAACTAATTAGCATAACTGCACATAATCCAGACATTGTTGTATGGTGCAATTTAAAATACTTTGGTTTCTACAAAGCTTTGTATATATGTGCCATACTGGTTTCTCCCTCAATATTTTTCTTTGTAGCAAAGGTAACACTTGGAGATAATTTCAGGGTTACACTCACATGAGATTTTATATTAAAAAAATATGTCCTTGCACTTACCTGTAAAGATATTGATCCTGTCTCTTTGTTTTTACTAAGGAAACTAGAAATGGACAAGTTCAAATCAATGCTGCTGTTATCAGCTGTAGAACCAGTGCCTGAATCTGCATCATTTTCCTTCAAATTCTCCGATTCCAGTTGCTGTAAAGTCTCAGTATTGCTTTGATTATCTGTTTTGACCTTCTCATTTTCTTCAGTGCTAATACTAATACTGGGGACTGGAGTGACTTCAGAGTCCTCAGCTTGTTCACTGACAGTGTCTTCAAGCTTATTCTTGATGATTTCATCTGAGGTAACTGCTGGATGTTCTTTGTCTACCTGGATGTTGGTTTCCTGTATATTCTCAGGTCCACGCTCTCCTGAATTTTGGTCCATACCAGTCAGTTTATCCACCAGTTTATCAGGAATATCCTCAGGTTTAGTCTGTAATGCCTTCTGGTCTACGATATCTTTTCCAGAGTCTTTGATCTGTGTTTCCTCTGTGCTGTTTATATTACTGATACCCTCATTTTCACTTTCTGCCAGTTTCTTGTCTACTTCAACCACTGTATCTTGGTTTTCTGATAGAGTTTCTTCAGAGCTGATTATCTCATGGACCTGCTTAGCCTGACTTTCCACTGGCTTATCCTCCAGCTCAGGTATTTTATCCCCATCACTGATGGGTGTTTCAGCAATAGCACCTATCTCCTTAATGTTGTCAATTCCATGCTTTATTAGATCCTTTTCTTCATCAGACACTTTAACTGTAGCATTAGGCAGAGCTTCTGTAGTGGTATGTATTACTGCCTCTTTCTGAGCTTCATCTTTATCTTCCTTTTGCTCTGTATCTCTATTTTCTGCAGGGACCTTTTCTTCCTCACCATCCAAGAGATCCATTCCCTTCTCTTCTTTTTCACCAGTTTCCTTAGAAATGCCTTCTTCAGTTTCTACCCTATCTTCAGTTACAGGTACTACTTTCAGTTTGTCATCTTCTATCTGTTCATCTGCCATGGAATCTTCTTTCTCTATTATTAAGTTAGGTTCATTCTTTATTTCCACATCAAGTTCTTTACCTCCTTTCTGGGGTTCTCTATCCTCATGCATTTTTTCCAGGCTTTCTGTATTCTTTTCTGCTGGCACCATTTTGCCTTGCTCATCTTCGCCAGTTGGCAAAGAACCATTCTGCACTTTCACATCGCTAATGGGAGTATCGTGTATGTTATCAGCTGTTTTCCTAAATTTAATGTCCTCAGATTCATCTCCAGTTGTTTTGTCCTCAATGGCATTACTTTCTGTTTTCTCAGAGAGAGATTCCAGGACAGAAGCATTCTGTGAAAGTTTATCCTCTTCAGAGCTGGCAATACTAAGATCAGAGGATGCACGTTTCTCTGCAGGTAACTGCTAAAAAATTAAAGCAAGAAAAGTATTCAGTCATTTTGTAACTTAATCAAAGCACAGTTTTATGGGAGAATATGTGAGCAGAGATCAATATTGTATTCACATGCAGTTATATGAGTTAGAAAACATAAGAATCCTTCCCTTGGACTATCACAGAACAAGTCCATGAACTGCAGACAGGCTCTGAACAGAAAGTTTCACTGTGATCAAGGGAAAGGGATCATGGTCATCAGCTACTCTTTAAGGGTCTTTTTCTTTTCACATTCCTTTTTTTAATCAGTTCAGCTCCTCAACAGTCTCAGCTACAGCTGGATTTGAAAGCTTTTATTTTGTACCAGCTGGGCAATGAAGCAACTGTAGCTTTAGTTAGTGCAGCACTGATAAAATGCAGTATGAAGTTCTTCTGCTTTACTTTGTGTTCTTGGCTAAAAATGCCTGAAAACTTTTCATCTGGTTTTAATCATGTTGAAACCCCATTAAAATGGTGAAAACCTCCAGCAGATCTGATGAAGTGGCAGTACAGAACTAGAACAGAAACAGTTACCTCACTCTAGAAACTGCCACTGCCAGAATATGAATAAATGTTATCAGATTCCATAGGGACATACAAAAGAATATAGTAATAAAGCATCATTTTAACCACAATTGCCCTTTCACTCTTCAAAGTGATTGTGATATCTGTCTGTCTGTATCTACTGCTAGAACCCTGTAATTTGCAGATTAGGCCTTTGATTTGCCATAGGGAACATCCTAGGCTAGCTGTTGCAGCAAGCACAGGTTAGATTGTACATTTCCTACCTTAAATTTTCCCAAGCATACAGAAAACAATTCCTTTTAAGTCAAAATTGCATTTAAAATATTTCTTTGTGTAATTGTTCAAGAAGTTTAGTGTTGATCTCCCAGGAGTGTTTAAAACTACCCCAAGGAAATAACGTGAAGGGCTCTACCTCACACATTGCTGCAATGCCGTTTGTGAGATACTTGACAGAGTCCCAGGGTGGACTTCACTCCAGCCCTCCTGGATGGATGGCTCAGCAGCTCATCCAGGGGAGGGGAGCTGCTGGGGATCACGTTTGGAGCCCGTGGGGTGCACTGGGAGGGCAGTAAGAAGGCCAGGGGCCGTGAGGAACGTGCAGATGGGTGAGGGGGGAATGGAGGCGCCTGCTCGAGCTCTCGGCTCCTGCAGCAGTGCAGGACAGCAGCTCTGGGAGGCACAGGGAGCAGACACAGCCTGGGCACTCTGCTACCTGCACCCCTCCCTGGACATGACAGTTTTCCCTCTGAGCAACCACACTCACGCTCTAAGATTCTTAAAGCATCTTTAGAACTACATTCATTATAAAACATGTGCGTTTTTCCTTATCTTTGATAGCCACACTGTAAAATCACAAACTTAGTTTACAGCATAATAGTCAAATACTCTTCCTAATCTTTTAAACACTTTATGGAATACAAACACACATTTCCTCATTCACCCAGTCATCATGACTTAAAAACATTTACATAAAAATCAGGATCCCATTTTTAAAATAGCACATATACATGTAAAAAATCTAAGATGCTAGTCTTTATTAGCTATTATTTATTAGTAGTTTTTAAGGAGTTCAAACATGCTACTTTTCAAATGGCTGGCTACCTATTTTGCAATAAGTTTAGAGTATTATTATGATGTTATTCCTAAAATATTTGATGTCAAAGTTGGGCTAATACAATTGAAACTGAATTCTCCATGGGAAATTTGCCACAGCACATTAAAAAAAGTAAATTTTGAACTGACCAGAGAATTTTCTGTTTCTTCTTCTTCATCCTCATCTTTACCGTCTTCAACTTCTTCTGTAACTTCTGCCTTAGCTTCTGCAATCAATTCTCTTATTGGTTTATTTGAAGTAACAGTAACAAATGGATGCTTGTGAAAGCAAAAAAATAAGCACAATATTAGGTGGTGGCTTCATAGTATACAGTGGGAAAATCATAATCTGAAAGAAATATAACTTCAAAGAAGTGTTACTTTGGTTGCCTCACATTTGAAGATTCACAATTAACACTGTTCCAATGTGTTTTTTCAGCAGAAGTCTTAAAATCAAAACATTTGTGTTCAAATATACAAAATAAGTAGTCTAACAAACTTGCTAAAAATACAAATGATTAATTTATACTGACCTTTTTCACAATCCAAAGAATAGAAGTAGAAAGATTCCTAAAAAGGTTATTTTTCTTGGAATTAGGTTTCATTTCCGTTCCACAGTTAAATTACTTCTTGACAAGCTTTATCTAGAAAATATACTTTCTAGAAAAAAAATGTGCTTTGCCTTTACAATAACTTCTCCTAATATGAACTAGAATTCTACCTTTTTCTTCAGGAACAAGAAGGTACCTGTTCCTCTCCTACCGTCTGAATCTTCTTTCTCTGCTTGGCCCTGCTACTTAAATCTATTCAGCATATGCCAGATGGATTGTGGATAAAGCAAATGGGTGCTGACGTTAAACACAATCAAATGTACCTGGTCACATCTATTCCTGTTCAGCTCTTCTGCACTGACAGCATTACAGAGGAGGGCTGAGCACTAAAGCTTTTAAAACACCTGTCAGCAACTGGCCACAGACCTAAACAACTCCTTTGTCCATTTTAAGTATCAAAGTATAGTTACTTACACAAAGTAATTGGTTATATTACAGCAAAATATGTTCAACTAATAACCTGATGTGTGCTTAGTATCATCTGATCAAATTTCACCAAATAAGGATCAATTTAAAAAAGAGATTGTGGACAAATACCTAATTTGAAAATATTTAAGTAGTTACTACAATACCGCTCTGCTTTAACAAAAATACCAAATATGCTTGCCTTTAAGCAACAGTTCTGAACAATTAACTCTTCCTACCTGTAGAAGTTGACTTGCACTCCACCTTGCATCTACATTCTTTTCCAAACATTTCTTCAGAAAATCTTTAAAATCTGATGACCTATGCAACAAACAAAGAGGCAGTGGTTGTTCTTCTGTCTTAACATCTGACTAGCATATAAACTGAAATACTCTTTAGGTTCACATGAATCTACACTGCAACTCCAAGTCCTGCTATTGACTCAGGAAAACACAAAGGGAATACAGGAATGCCAAGACCAAAACATCACAAAGACAACCTTTAAAAGGTTTGTCCATTATCAGAAGAATTTACTTTTTGCTCTGGACTATTAATACACTTCATCTGCTATATCAGATGTAACTGAATCATGTGAAGATATTAAATTGACCAAATAGATAATGGCTTTTAAAAACACTTTCTTAGTATAAAAATGCTTTAGTTTGCTTTCACCTTTAGATGGCCTTCAGATCTGTTACTACATTTGTAAAAAAGCTATTTAACATATGTTTTAAAGCAAAGCATGTAAAATACTTCTGTATAAAAGCTTCTATACAGAACTATGACCAAAAAAAAGTTCAAATTGTGTCAAAAGACACATATATGTATACACACATGTACAAACATATATTGGGATTGTATGGGTGTGCCTTAATGCATAAAGCTACACCACGGACTTCAACAGGGCTGTGCTCATCAAATTTAGCAAACAAATGACTTGGAGTGCCTTACACTGGGGTGGGAAAGCTGTCAGTACAACACAAACCATTTTGAAGGCTGTGCCAATGTTGGCGGGTCAGATTTTGCGATTTTCAGCAGCACTCGCATGGGATTCAGTTCATGGTGAGGTGGCTCTATTTGAGCCATTTCTATTAAAGTAATGCCAAGAGACCAGATATCAGCCTTGTAATCATATGGTCTGTCTTTAGAGGTCTCACACATTACTACTTCTGGAGCCATCCTGCAAAGAGAGCAACAAAGTTCCAGATGAGAAAATGCTTTTTGATGTGTTCTGAGAACAGTTCTAAACACAGATGTTCACTGAAGCATTGCTATTCCACCATCAGTAGATTTACACAGTACCCATCAAGCTTGTAATATCAAATTGAAAGTAACATTAAGATACTAGTTAATACAAAAAAGTCAGCAAAAGAGTGCACTTACCAATATGGTGTGCCAATAAAGGAGTCTCTTCTTTGTATTGTTCTGGTGTTTTTAGCTGATACTCCAAAATCCGCTTAAAGCAAACAGTAAAACACTATTAATAGGGTGGTGGAAAGCATACTATATTTCTTTTTATTTACAATTGTCATTTAAAATTGTGTATATTCCAGAGCACACATTCAGTATTAAAAATTCAAAGTGAGGTAAAAATATTTGTGCTCTGATAGCTGAGTGACAAGGTTTTATAGCTTTTATAATGAAAGATCTTAAATAAAACATATTCTACATTTCTTAAAAAAAACCCCAAACCGTAAGGCTACTGTTGGGCTGTATGGGACAGAAGCAAAATATGTATTTACTACAGGAAAAAGTGCATTACATATTTCTTTAAGTACAAATTCATTTCTTTAGCCTATGAAGTCTGTATTCATCAAACATGGCACCAACTGTCTCATTAATTCAATAAATCATTCCATTTTAAATTTCAGGACTCAAATTTTCACAAAGTTACATTTCCTCTTCATCTTCCAGGTTTCTTTCCACATGATTTTTGATTTTATAAAAAATACTTGAAAGCTTGCATGTGTACTTTTCATTAATATCTACCCAAAAACCATTTTACCTCTTTGCAATTAGTTATCTATAAAACACTATATATTTCACTCTTAAAAAAAGACGTTTAAATAAGTATTATATGCTTATAACAGACATAATTTTGTTAATGAAGATCTAGAGATTAAAGCAAAGGGACAAAGAGCCATATGTTGCCATCTGTAATCTGTACAAAATCACTTGATGGGCTCAATACGTGAGAAGTCTAATTTTGCTCTGGGGAAAAAAACAGGACTAAAATCTATTGGTTCAATAAAAGAAATTTACTTGCCATTCACACATCTGTAAAAAAAGGAATTATACATTTCTTTGTGTAACAATCCAAATACAAGTAGTTTATAAGGAGTAAAATGCTCCTTATAAACTATGCTGTACATTTTTCATAATTACATCAAGTCTTTTTTTAGAAATCTTAATTAGCAAACCTGAATGCATCACCAAATGCACGTGAGAAAGAAATCTCCTGTGGTCTAAACTGTTAAGTAGTATCTTGACAGCCTGCAAGGTGATGTATACCAGCTAAGCTTGACAAAATCTTAAAGTAGTTCCAAGTCTGTATGAGGAGAAGCCAGGTCATGTGAGGAGATGAACTGAAACAAATTATTCTTTCTGACCATGAGACTCCTGCTGTGATCCGTGGTTTCTTTTACAGCAGTGCCAAGAAACTAAGACAGTGGTTCCATTACATTTACACATCAGGCCTATGGCCCCAAGTGCATCACTAAATGTTCTGGCTCCAAAGAAAAGCTGCACCAGTAAAGTTACATGTACTCTGCAGACTAAAAGAAAGTCAGATGCAAGGACTGTGTGTACAAGGAATAATCTTGTACAGAAGGCATCCATGGAAAAGCACAATCACACTGAACTGATCAATACAGCAAAGCAGGTTCTTAAATATTCTCAGATTCTAATAGAGGAGGTGCACAGTACCTTGCTGAGATGTGATCAATACGAGTTAGGCAGGAGATATATTCCTGAATTTGGACACATCTTGCTTACATTTAAAAGGAAAGTCTGTATCAAGGCTGCAAATTTAGAGCCCTGGTTCCCTGTGGCAGTATTCTGATTTTCCTTACCTCTGCCCTCTGTGCATCCAAAGAAATACAACTGATCAAACTGATCCCATGCAGAGGGAAGGCTTTGAAACCTGAGCGTGGGCAGGGATGTCATGGAACTATGCCATGGGTAGAGGCACTGCAAAGGCTGACAGCTTATACACATTTTCCCCTGAAACAAAGTGGATCCAGATAATTCCTGCCCTTTCCTGGCTGAATGAAAGGATGCTATTCACCACCAGCAGCCCTTTGTCAGTTCTGCATGGAGGAATCCTCATCAGACTAAAAATGTGGATGACTGCTTAAACTTACATTTAAAAAAACCCAGAAATCAACAACAGTAAGCTGTATTTTGTTCCAGCCTGTTCTGTCTTAATTTCAGTGCAACAAACAATTGAAAAAGGAATGGAAAAACTAAGCTGGATGATTCAGATTATTACATCTCTCTCAAAGGAAGAGACAACAGTACAAGGTACTGCTTTTTGCTGGCTGTGAAGAATGTTCCCTTTCCAAACTAGTAACTTCAAAGGGAAGTTCTGATGCTATCACAGTGAAGGTAAGTAGGTAAATCTGGAACTTTATACTAAGCATCAGCAAGATCTATGGTGACTTCTTGTGCTGATTTTGAAGTATGAAAGATGTCATAAGTATAGTCAGGATATTTGCTCAAGTTTTTTTGTTTTGTTTTTTCTTCCTTGATAGCACCAAACCACTTGCTTCTGAAAAACCTCTCATTGTTAGATTGGTACTTCAGTAGGTAAATATTGAACCTTGACAAACTACAGCTTAAGGAAAATACAATTAAAAGACCATGCCAAGTTCCAGGAAAGTTTTATTTGCAACGTGCTTACCTAGTTTAATGTCTCCATCTAATGTGAAAAGAATATTGCCAGCTTTTAGATCTCTGTGGATGATCTTATTCTCATGCAAGTAGTTCAGTGCTTCCAGTGTCTGCCTGCACACCACTTTGATCTGTGGCTCTGTTAACGGCCTTTCAAGCTCTACAAGAGAGAGACAGAAATAATCACAACATTTTTGCATTTTATGTTACATGTTCATAGCAAACCCTATAGGAACATATGGGGAAACTAATTAATCTGACAGATTCTAAGCATCACATGTGAGAAAAAAATTCTCTCTTAGAATATTTGCTCCTTCCAGTAAAGATTTTATTCCTTGAATCCAACCCCCTTCTCATTATGAATTATTTATTCCTACCTATCTGAACTGTGAAAAAACTACATCATTTAGAGACTGGTTCTTTTGTGTGTTACATAGAGATGCTAAAGACCAGATCTTTTACAAAAATATTTGCATATCAAAACAATACACATATGAAGTAAGTCTTACAGTATATATTATCACTTTAAGGTATTAGGATTATTATTATTAGTTGAAATAACTTATTTACCCAACATTACTGCATCTACTGCTCCTCCTGCACAAAATTCAATCAGGATCTGTATATAAATAAATAAAAAAAATATAGAGATTAGAAATTAAATAGTTCCACTGAGCTGAATCATTGATTAAGGGAGCATTTTTGGGAGATCAGAGTTTCAGAATATTTGGCCTCATCAAGTTATTTTACTAGCCTGCAAAATACTGGTACTCTTACCCAGCTAAAAGTAGGGCTGTACTTCTCAACAAATTATTTGAGAAATGCCTCAAGACCCTCAGACAAAAGTTTTAATCCAACTATAAAATAGCATAATAAAACTTATAAAACATAATGATACAGTCAGCTTAAACCTACTCCTTGTAATGTGATTTACATAATCCCTGCAAACTCATTTCTCAGTTATTAAGCTCTACTCCTATACTATAATCTCTCTGATTGAAAAGTCCAAGAGCTAAATGATTTTCCAGTAGCTGATGCTATCTCCTATATTGTTTCAGACAAGATGAAAATACAGAAAAAATGCTCTGAAAAGCCAAATAAAATTATTACATTCAGATGTTTACATTAATTTTCCTTTTTTTTCATTCATGCCTACAATACTTCAAGGCCTTTATCCCAGAATGTAATAATACCAGAACAAGTCCATCCCCAGTTCTGAGTTTCCTTTTGAAACAAAAATATACTACAATTATTTGTGAGCACAAACTATGCTGCTATGAAGGACAGAAAGAAAATAAACAAAGGAGAAAGAGGGGAGACAAAGAGAATGAGAAGAGCATTAAAGAGGAAATCATGTCCAGGACTGAATCACGTCCACTCTTCCTTATGTAGTTTTTTTTCTTTAATTTGAACTTTAAATATTATAAATTATAATCTACTGTCTGAGAGCTAAGAAACATTTCTTCTCAGAATCTCAACAGTCAATATGATTGGAATTAGTGTGTTATTTTTTATTCTTCTGTAGAGTAATTTAAAAATCAGCGTATAATTGCTGATAAAAGAGGAAACCTCAAAGTATACCTTGTACCACAACATTTATATATACACCACTTATTCACATACTTCAAATTATTATTGCAATTAATCCCTACAGCAATGGTACCAACAAATATATTATATAATGCAATTCTTTGTAAATCCTGTAAACATTCCATTTACAAGCTTCTGTGTGCCAAGTAGGTAAGTATGGGAATTTGTACATCAAGAATTTATTTCTCTAAAATTTGTAGTTTGGTCTGACAAAGATCTCTTTGCTAGAGAAATCACGTTTCTAATCTTGGAAAGCAAACATGTATTTAATGTCCAACTATCATTCTTCTATTTTTTCCCCTCACTAAATTTTGTTTATTTACCACATCATTAGCCTTGTGGCTTACAAGCTCCTGCATTTTACTGTAACTATGTAGCTCCAATTTTATTTTCAAAGTGTTTACTTCTATCTTTATTCTGCCAGTGAAGCCCACCCACTCAGTTTCATATTGTGCCTCTATGCCTACTTGCTTTCATGCTGACCTTTATGCACTGAAATTTTTTCACTATTCCACTGTTTTATATAATAATTTACTCTGCACTGAGATCACCAAGTTTTGAGCTTAGCAAAACAAATGTGCATCAGGAAACAAGGTATTACACTTCCACCATTTGTTCAAAGAGTAAAGCTTATTTGTAAGACCCCCAGGAAATCATCTTTTATTTGTTTTAAGTATCTTTTTGAAGTACATGCTCTTTAAAAAAAACCCAACCCATGTATTCTTTGTACCATTCCAAAAGCAGCTATAAATATTGCACTGGATTACCTACAAGTGCAAAGTGTTTTGTCACAGCTGAAGCCACCCAAGCACAGAGCCAGGATCCAGCACAGCAGGGATGTGCAGTGCCACATACCGTACGCTCTGCACGTCAAGGTACAAATACCCGGGGTTTAGTAAATTAATTACTGTTCAAGTCCTGCTGAACTGTCCTTCCTTCCTGGGAGTGCCAATAAACCCCCTAGCATCTAAAGTATGGACTTCACAGGCTGACCTTTTCAGCTCTTTATTTATTTTTCAGGTGTGGATTCCCAGTCTCACTTAAAATCATGCTAATGTAATTGAAATCTGAGTCCTATTGTTACAAATAAGCACCAGCTGAGAACTCTCTCAATACACAAAATGAACTGCTAATTTCCACATTCAAACACCCAACCAAATGACTCAGGATAGCACAGTTTTGCAGTGACAATTTCCTAGTCATACCCACAATTTCCAAATTAGTTTTGAAACTGAGTAGTTATCCCAACAGTGACAATGCAGATAAAATCTGACAAATAATATTTTGATAAAGAAAAATGTGTAATTTCAATAACCTTTTGAAATAAGAAAAAACATTTGGAAAAAGAAAAATACTTACCCACAGATTGTTTTCATAGTAGAAAGCATCTAGGAGTTTGACAATATTAGCATGATCACAGGATGCTAAAATATCAATCTCCACCATGTAATCTTCAAGTTCTTCTTCTGATTTAGTATCTATCACCTTTGCAGCAGCCAGAACTTTAGTTTCTTTGTTCTGAGCCTGTAAAAGAAAAGTCACAGCAAACATATACATTAATTTCACCAGAAAAATGTCACCAGCAAAAAAACCCCAGAAATAAAGCAACTCTCTCTCTTGACACTTCTGTACAAATTTCCAGGCTCCAGTTTCCTCCTCTACAAAAAGAGAATCCCTGCATATTATACAGGAGATAAAATCTAGCAGAAAAAGGGTTTAATAACTTTTCTCAAGGCCAAGAAACAATGAAAGACATGTAAAAACACTTAATTCTAATCACATTCTTTAAACCATCATCAATAGCTCAGGATACTTGCTGCCTTACTACAATGAAGTTTTGTGCTGCTCCTCAAACACCATCTATTAACACAAGGCAAGGAGTGGCAAGGAGTACAAGGAGCCTCCAGCCTCTGTTTCTGCCCTTCTGACTCTCCCCACGTCGTGGCAGCACCGCTGCTCCCAAAGCCAGGCAGGGAAGCAGATCCTGCAGCAGAAGCAGCTGAAGCTCCTCTCCAGCCAGGGGCTGTGTGCTGTATCCCAGCTTCAGGAGCTGCCTTTGCCTGGCATTTTGCATCCTTCCTTTGCCTGGCATTTTGCTGCCTGTGCTTCAGCAGCCTGGGAGGACTCCCCAGGTGGGAGCCATGGAAGGTGGGGCACTGCAAATGCTGCCAGCTCTCCTGCATTGCTCCTCACCCACACAACAGGGACAGGGACAAGTGCAGAACAACTAAAGCAAAGGGAAAACAAGACTTTGGGTACCCAAGGAAAAGAAAAGGCATTTCTGCTGTGCATTTAAATATTCTTTGGCTTTTTTCAAACATAAGAAATTACAGACAAGTAAGGTGACTTATTTAAATAGCAAAACATTTAAAAAACCAGGAGATACTACTTATTAAAAGGACACTGCTGAAACCTAATCACAAAAAAAATATATACACTCTCTAATAATTCTCTTGTAAGTTATGTTTGAAGGAATGCTCAATTCCAAGCTGCAGCAAACTTCAAACAAGTGTATTTTTCTCAAGCCATCATAAAAACACTATTTTGTTAGTGGTTACCTCTGAATAAAGGAAGTGCAGGACTGAAGTCTACTTCACCCATTGATCATGAAGACCATGAATCCAAGTCCTGCACTTACTCCACTGAGCTTTTGACATTCAAATGAAATTAAATGGCAAGGAGGGACACAGGCTCTCTCTTAAGCAGCAACAGACAAGGATCTACAAGGGGAATTCCAACTTCTGATGTGCAGCATCACAAGGCAGTTCATGTCTCTGCTGGTGTGGATTGTGCATGGCCCTAAAGCTATTTTGGGATGATCCCAGGACAGGACACAGCAAAAATCCCAAAACCTGAACTTTGTCACCTAATGACTTTACACCAATATCAGAAAAAAGCTGGTATCAGACAGCAAGTAAGAATTCTTAAGAATAATTCTGAAGATCTAAATATTATTACTTGCACAGCTATAAATAATTCTCTCTATGTGGCAAAAGATAATAAAATATTTAAAGATAAACATTTATATTAACATTCAGTAAAACAGCAGTAACAGCAAAACACACTTATAAAGCATAGTCCCAGCTGATTCATCTCATGTTGAGGGTAAAGCTTTTCCATTACATTTCTTTTTATCTCAATATTTTTTCCAAAACAAAAAACAACCAAATCTTCCCAACCTCAATATTTGCCCTCCCATGTTTAACAACAAAGATAAGTAATCTGTATAACATCATTTGAAAACCAACTACTGAGAAGGTTTCTAACACACATTCTAATAATAAAAAGGAAAAGGTCTGCTTAGTAACACAAACAACATTTGTTTTGGTTTCATGCTTTGTAGCAAGAATGAAACACCAACCTTCCTATTCTAGAGCTGCACTGTAAATTAAACACAAAAAGTGAAACAGATGTCTGACCACAACAGAATTGGACTTGGTAGCTTTACTTGTGCAGAAAAATGTTTTGTAAAGCATCTTTCTAAAGAAGTCAAATTCTAGCTGTAAATGGACTTTTTTGAAGTATGCATGGACACACGCTCTTCACTTAAAAAAAAAAATACATAAAAAATAAAGCTGAAATTAATTTTTACACAAATTTGCTTACAAACTATATAATGGCAATAGTATTTTGTTTAAATAAACCATCTACATCAGGTAACAGGTGTTACTGCTTCCAGATTCAGTTTCACCTTTGAGCAAGAAGGGCATTGCTAAGTTAGTGTGAATGATTACATGCTCAGGAGTTTGCTACATTTACAGCATATATTGTTTTTTTTCTACTGACAGAACACTTTGTATTTTGATTTTGCCCAGATCCTTTTGCTTAAAGTAACTAGAAATCTGCTTTGAGTATGCTTCTACGATTTCCTCCTTGTGGCAGCTCTATTAAAACACCTCATTACAAATAATGAATTATTATAGAGACAGTGTGATTATCTTTATGAGCATCTTAACAATTATAAACAAAACAAATGTTTGCCTTTGTTCTGCCTCAAAACAGTAAAATTTTGTAGGTCTAGATCCAGACTTTTTTTCCAGCTCTTAAAAGAAAAAAGCTTTAGAATTAGCATATTTCCACTGGCTATTTCTGAGGACTGATGAAACATTTTAAGTATACATCAAACAACACCTGAAAAAAAAATTATATGTTTTAAAGTTCTTTTTGAATAAGGCATTAGTCATCTCCACCCCACAATGCACTCTATGAAAAATACCCATCTATTTGACTTACTGTAAGTAACGTGCTCTTTTTAACTGTGTAGAAAAGGATTTTACTGTTCATGCACAAGATTTATGAATCACTGTACTGTACAGTGCAAAAAAAAACCCTCTTTGGATTAGGAGGAACAAAAAGCACTTGCAACTTTGTGTGGGTATGTTTGTTTTTTCTAAACTTTGGCTGAAGTCTTTCTTCTTCCACAAAACGTTCTCCAAAGGTCAGAGCCAGAGCAAAAATGATTGTGTAGAATCAGTCCTGATTTGCACATGGAAATTCTGCATTTGGGTACACCAACAATTAAAGTCAACCTGCCATTTATGTTACAGGACATATTTTGAAAGTGCAGAACTTCTGAGTAGCTGTAGCCCAGCAGTTTCTTCCTGTATTTTAGCTCTCAACTACTAATTCAATTTATTCCAAATGCTCTGCTTAAATACATTTGATTCTGTGTCTAGGATTAAGTGACTTAAACCTCAGTCCTATGCTAAGAAATCCAAACCGGCATTTTCAATGGTTATGTGCAGACAAGGAAGAAAGGGGTAGAAGGATTCATTAACAAAATTTGATCTTTTCAAAAGATACATACATAATAGATGAAAAGCAAATTGGAATAACTCATTCCCTCAAGATGTGACTAATGCAAGATGACATGGAAATTATTAACTGTTACATGCAACAACACACAAATATTGCAATCCTTCCAGTAAAACTCCTATTTGGATTATGTATTGAAGGTTACTACAGCAAATATTTTCACTTAAGGAGAAGAAATGCACAAGGAAATAACCTGCTGTATGTTATAGCATGGGTCTTGCAAGGGATGGCACAGTCTCATCAGCTGTCAATGCACAGAAAAGCACACAATTCTAAGTTAAATACTTTGAAAAAGATGGATTGCAGGCTTGTATAGAATAAATAATCTTAAAAATTACAACTTGCAAATGAATACGTCTGAACCTACATCCCTTACTGGAATGGCAATGTACATCTAATGCACAAAAGCATTGCAGAAATCTGAAAACGTCTCAAGAAAGAAGAATAACCATTCCACATAAAACCAGGCCCTACAAGAATGTGAAATTAGTGACTCCTCCCTAACAATGCTGGATTTTTGCAGGGGGTATCATATAACTAACTGTAAGTTCTAGAGGCAGAAGCTTTGTGAAGAGACTGACAGCAGAATATTAAAAGGTAGTTTACTATCCGGGCACCAGGCCAAGAAGTTGCATATTCCCAGCCCTGGACAGCAGGGAGAGCAGAGCTACTGCTCCACAGTAATGGGATTACAGCTCAGAGATAACACACAGCCTTTCATCTTCTGATGACCAATATGAAGTTTCAGCCTTGCTTGTGAGGAGCTGTTTCAGTTTTGGATCACCAGCAAACGCTTCCTTCTCAACTGTGCATTTCCTCTGCAATGCAGCTTCAAAAATTAAACAATATTTACAACTGAAAAAAAGTTAAGTACATCCTTTACCTCTTGCTCAGCCAGCCAGGAGCAAAGCTGAGATATGAGATAGAAAATTGTTCATCACCTTTCCTCCTGATGCCTGATCTCTTGTGAGATGTTACATAACCTCACTGCATGTTTTGCAAGCAGCAAAACAAATCAATTAAGAAGCTTTTCCTTTCTGACTCATTCTTCTCAACAAAACCATATAGTCACAATCATGGATCATCAGAGTTGTCAAAAGGGGAAAAATATACACATCCCTATTCAGCAAAAGATGTTTTTTCCCACATAAAAAGCTCCACTTTTGTGTAAAATTGGGTTTGTAAGATCTAGCTCCAGATAAATTTTCTGACAGTGCCTGGGTAATCAGTACTGAAAGGCTGGCCTTGTACAACACAAAGGCAGGAGCTGTTTCTCTGAGCTACCACAGAGCAGAGATTTCAATCTTTCTTAGAACATATGAATTAAGGAAAAAAATTGCTCTCATTTTAAATTTTAGCAGCTCTATCAAATAAAAATATAAGCAGTAGTGTGGCCTACTGAAACAACTACAGTGGACTTTGTTTTGTCAAAGTTTCCTATAACATAATTAACAATGTCCTGTACATTTTGAAACTAAAAAAACCTTAAATGATTGACCAGTATCAAGTGTTCAAATTTCTTTTCAAAAACATGGAAAGGTGTTGTTCATCAGTGAATTTTAGAAGTTACCTTAGATAAAAGGAAGCATTAATTCTAACATTAAATGTTAAAAAATGTAATTAAAGTATCAGTTTGAATTCAAGAGCAAATAGCTACTCTTGCAATATTAAACCAGTTTTATCAATAAAACACAAATTCAGCCAATGAA